GGGCACCAGGTGAGCTTGGACGAGCCAGCACCAAAGATTTGGGCTTCTCCAGTACTTAGCACGTTGACTCACCAGCTGATGGAGAGGGGAAGTTCCTCCAATACTAGGACCTTGGGATTTCGTAATTTCGCTTCACGCGGGCCGGGTGTCTCTCCCTCGAGGTCTCAGCTCACCCGGCTGGAAGGCAGTTCCCACAGCTGATGTCCCCCAACTCACAGAGCATCCACTCGCGCCCCGGCTTCAGATGAAGGGGAAGGGGTTTTCCTATCAGCTTTGCTTCTGACCTCCACTCAGTCGATCCCCCTCTGCTGTCTCAGTGTGGCTGGGGCATGACACAAACATGACACGGCAGCGGGGAAGCCCAGTGGCTCGCCACGTCCTGGGGCCAGCTCTGGCCCTTCTGCAGGGCTGTGGAGACCTTCTCTGAAGCTGACGGTGCTTCTCGTGGGCTGTGTTCCAGGGACAGGACCAGGGGCTGGTGGGGACAGGCTGGTCACTGGGCTGGGGACGGGTTTCAAAGCAGGAGGGAGCAGCAGTTGGGCTCTGAGTGCAGCAGACAAGGGCCCTTGGTCAGCGTCTGGATCCATCCCTTCCCGGAGAATTCAGGTTTTCCAAGCGACAGCTCCAACCACTGTAATTCCAAAAGATTGCAAGGGGAGGGGGAGGAAACTTCTGCTTTTCTTCTATTTTTATGAGCATATGATAGTACTTTGATACAAAATTATGTGTTTTGCTGTATCCCTGGGTATTTATGGCTGGGCTGCAAGCCACCCGAGGTCAGGGGAAAGACTGCCACTAACCTCAGTGGCCGCTGGCCCAGGCCCATCATCAGGCTCTTTCTTCCTTGGTTTGTGCCTGTTTTGCACACAGCAAAAAATGTTAAAAAAAAGAAACCAAACAACCACCCTCACATGTCAAACCAGATGAAAATTCATCTGCAAAACCATGGAAAATAGCAGGAGATGATAGTGCATTTGAAAACTTTGTAGGTTTAAAATCTACAGAGTCATTTAGACTCCTACTCTTCTGCAGTTCTTGAAATTTCCACCCACTTTGGCTGTTTGTAAGAACGGCTAATATCTCCGGGCAATCGGGCTGGGATTATTATAATTGTTGTTCATGTGTGTGGAGTGACTGACGCAGATGTTTTTACAATGGATGCTTTATAAAATGACAAAATACTTTCAAACTAAGTAGGCAGCATTGTTTGCACGAATGACGGCTTCCAAAATACCCACCATCAATCCTCCCCGTCCTGCCCACTGTCTGTGTCCCCCACGCCTCCCCAGAGGCGGCAGCGAGACGCAAAAACCCCGCTTCTCACACACAAGGCCACAATAGATTCTGAAAATCCCAAACAAGGCGTGGCACAGGGCTCCGGACTGACGAACTCCAGTGCCCCCCGCCAGGAAGGGCTGCCCGGCAGGCACCACGCTCACGGTACCTCTCTGCTGTGCCCCGGTGCCAGTCACCAGGAGCAGGACGGAGTTCGTTCCTCAGCCCGTCTGCCCTGTCTGTGCCCTGTGGGAGCGGGGCGAAGGCTGGGGCAGGGCAGCCACCCCCTCCTCACCTCCCCGCACCTCTGTGTGGGCACAGGGGTTCTGTCCCGCCGCCTCCCGCACCCCGCCAGGGCCTACGCTGAGCAGGACCCCCGGCACAACGCCACTCCGCCGTAAGCCACCAGCGCTTGTCTCCTGACTCCTGCCAGCGCCGCGGCACCGCAGCCAGCGCGGGGCTGAGGCAGCGGCCGGGCTCGCACCGCGATGGCCGCCGCCTCGGCGCCCAGCCCCTCAGCCCCGCTCCCCGACATGGC